AATTGTGCCGGTCACCCTTATTCATTCATATATTTTAACCAAAGCCATTTATCGGGGCCAGTTTATCTTGGAATTAATAAAGACATTATTATCTTATCATTTTTCGACAGAAATACTTGGATGTTCTTTGACAATTTGTGAATAGCATTATAAACTGAAAACGATAGTTTAAAAGTTCTTAACTAAATTGCTTTCCACGTTCCACTTTTAGTGAACGGATTTGATATAGTTACTCTAAAGCTGCTAAAATCCACACGATTTTTATATTTTTTTCACTGATTAAGGATTTTACATATTTGCCTTAAAAAAATCGATAGCTGGGAAGTTTTTATTTGTATTAAACTTATAAATGTAAGGATCTTGCGAGTAAAAAAAATAAAAAGAACATATTCCCAGTTATCGAACTTTTGCAAGTCCATCACGATTGCATGATGACATCCTTATCAGATTTTATCTTCTTATAGCCTTAATTACATCAGGGATTAAATATACATGCAAACGAACGAAAGCAAAACAGAATGTGACTATGCAAGACACAATGAAAGAAAGTAGAGCAGCATGTAGCAGAACGCGTGCACCGAACGAGCACATGCTTACGTTAATTAATTATGACTAGGGTTTCAAGTCAAATATTAGATTTCGGATACTTAAGAAAATTAGTTCACCTTTCTGAAAAAAAKCCTGACAAAATATATCAGACTGTGGCACAACAAACTGAACAAATCTAGAGATTGATCGGAATAAATGAGCAAAGAATACGGAATAAAACTATAAAAACCCTCAGATCCACATAAACGTGCAGCTAAACGATTTTRAATTTATATGCTTGTTTTACAGGACATAGATTCCCTTTTTTTGTTTGCATGAGGGATGCATGAGGTATATTCGAATATATAAAAAAAACTAAAAAAACTTCTGATTCAAAACGTTCAGCTAAACGATGTTAAAATCATATGCTTGTTTACAGAATATAGATTGCCTGTTTGCATGGCGTATTTTAAGGTAAAGAAAACTAAAAAAAACCTTCTAATTCACGTTAACGTACAGCTAAACGATGTTCAAATTATATGCTTGTAAGTACAGATCACAGATGGCCTTTTTTTGTTGTAGTAATTACTATCTAACACTGGTCCTGATCTTGAATACAAGGGCACTATATGATGAGAGCTATTTGTAAATAGCAAAAAAAAAAATCCATCTCACACTAGTCTTGGTCCTATATATACAGACTATAGGATAATATTTGAGATAAAGTCCTTGAAATATAGAAAGGAAAACGGACTCACTCATGTAATAGTGTTAGTATCAGATGTATAAAAAAACACTTCTTCAATATTGCTTGCAGCTGTACGGTGTATTGCAAGGCAATTCCCTGCAGATCTAGATGCTGCACTGATTACTATCTAACACCAGTTCTAGCCCTTTATAAAAACATTCTTCAGTATTTATTGCAGCTGTATGGTGATATAAGGTGATTCCCTGCAGATCTAGATGTTGTAGTAATTAGCGAAAAAAAAGCAGACACACACACACAAAACAAAAAAAAAACTAATTTATAAAATTATATTCTTTTGGGAGTATTGCAAAGTGCATCCCTGTAGATTTTGTGGTGATTACTAATTCTGTTTCTGTAATCAAACAGTGCTCTAATATTACTTTCTGTGATAGGTTCTGTTAAGGTACATCCCTGCAGATTTGGATATTGCAATAAAGTAATTACTATCTAACACCAGTCCTAGTGGGTTCAATGATAGATAATGACACTGTAGGCAATTAAGCCTTACCTGCAGATGCAATCGGACTTGTTTCATCTATTGTGTCGAGGGAAATTATCCTTCAAAAAACATAATAGAAACTAATCAAATATCGGCAATTCTAGTGTACATGATATTTGTGTACAAAAGAAGTAATTTCAAGGGTCACTATAGGMTCACTATACCTATTTTTCATTATCGATGTGGGTGGGTGCGGTTATAAAACTCAGGGAACGACACAAGGCTCCTAAGTGTGTGAGCTGACCCTGATCAAGACGGACTGATCCTTCGCAAGTTCCATTGCAGTGAATTGTCAAAATGATTCGCAAATTTGCGTTTGTTCTTCTTCTTTTCTACTTTGTTGGATCCTTCTCAGGTATATTTAAATCTAGAAGCACTTTTCGATCTGAAACAAAAACACAAATGCTAAAACTTTTAAAATTCTTAGAAGGGTACAGACATAATGGAGTGATGGCTGGGGATCCATCTTATCGTGAGGACGGTAAGTTGTTATTGTCAAAGTCATTTAAAGTAAGGAAGTTCAAAATGCTCAGAAAAATGGACTAAAAAAACATCCATTTTAGTTTTCAAGAAATATATAGAAAGTTGTTATATAATGGAAAGCTTAAGCATGATTAACACTGTTCATTTCGTCGGTGGTATCTAGTTGTTATTACCAGCCTAGGTTTCACTTTTTGGTACATATCAAGTGCTCGTAGCTATGCTGATATTCAACATTTGAAAATAAATGAATAAAAAAGAAATAAAAACAGATTTCTAAAAACATCGACCGATTATGCTGTTCATTCCCATTCTAAGAGACTAAACTGAACTCAAACATCTTGTACTGAAATTTGTAGGAAAGAGAATGGTTTATCCAAACCAAAGGCTGCATCAAGGTACGTTTAGTAACATTATTTAATTAAAGGCAACTGACTAACGGATACACTTCATTTTTCACTGGTTAATAACTAAAGTTTGTTGATAATTTTAAAAAGTCAATTTTCAAAATTTGTATTGTAAAAATCGCAATACATTTTATCGAATGCTTGGTCTGTGTTGGTTGTATTGATATAAGATATAAAAAACGTGAAGAAATAAAGAATATTAATTTTCGACAAAGCTAGAACAGTTACCGTACCTAGCACACTAGCGCACGTCATTGGTTATTTTCCGTACAACGCTTTTAATTAAGGAATTAAAAACAGTTTTCCGTGCATGTATTATACTCATATAAAACACGCGGGATGTGGGGAGAACACGAGAGAAGCGTAGGAAACCATGACGCGAAGCGGAGTGGTTTCCAGCTTCTCGAGTGTTCTCTCTCCACATCCCGCGTGTTTTTATCAGAGTATAATACACGGAAAAATGTTTTTTATTGCGCACAAATATTCATGAGAAAAAAAAAGCTGAAAATAGGTTTTTTTATAATCGRTACACTACGGATTTTCCAAAGATTGCCGCTAGTGGAGAAATGTTGGCTCTTGTTTATGAAAAAAAATATGAAAATTGTTGTGTATGCAATCCGTGAAAAACCAAGGACTATTTAAATGTTCTTTTTGAATTCTTTTTTTTCCAGCGAAACGGGGAGAAGATCGGGTAGCAGTTGGTAAGTAAGATTGATTTGTTGCTTATATCTGTCCAACTTCATTGTTATTTAGCTTCGATACCAAAACGATTGCAATTCTTTTTAAAAAAACATTGACTGAATAATTAAGTTATGATTTGGATCAGTTTGGGCAACGTTTGCAGTTTTCTGTTATGTCTTTATCATGATGTTGTGTTTTGATCGTTGCATTCTCAGTGTTCTACTCCAAAAAGGAGCTATGTGGGACCTTCTTTAAGGGTGTACTGACGTARCCGTTTCTAGACGACCTGGTTGCTATGCTAGCCGATGCTAGCCAATCGGAGAAGCGTGCGCGCGCGCGCGTTTTCATGGCGGGAAAATTTTTACTTCCGGTGGAAAGGTTTTTGTTAAAATAAAATGTATGGTATCATTTAAAAAATATAATCTTCGGTGCGAAACATCAAATGGACGTGTTTTTTAATATTTATGTTCTTCATAGCCTCCTCTTCAGAACCAAGCATGGGTTTGGCGAAAAATTAAAAAATACGAAAGTTATTGGCATTACTCGCTTATTTGTGGCATTTAAAAAATCGTAAAAATCTTATTTGGCAATCATTCTAAAAACGCATGCTTGGCTTTACGGACTTAAATCTAAAGATTAATTTCATCCATTTTAAATCGTTTAATATACTTTGCTTAATGAT